CAATGTCCTCGATCTGCAGCTGCAGGACCGATGGGAGAGGAACAGGAGAAGGAGGAGGAAAGGGAAGAGAAAGATACCGCGCATCGATGGATATTGGCATGCATGTGTGCATGCTACCGACGGGGGATTTGTTTCAATTGAACGGAAGGGAGACTCTGAAGGTGCAGCGCCCGGAAGAAGGACCCTTTCTTTTCTTTTCTTTTTCTGAAACGCGGTCTTGTGCAGTCACGTCTCTCTCTCTCTCTCTCTCTCTCTCTCTCTCTCTCTCTCTCTCTCTCTCTCTCTCTCTCTCTCTCTCTCTCTCTCTCTCTCTCTCTCTCTCTCTCTCTCTCTCTCTCTCTCTCTCTCTCTCTCTCTCTCTCTCTCTCTCTCGCTTCTCGCCATCATCATATTTTCTCGCGATCAGCTCCACCTTCCTTCCATCTCCTTCTCTTAATCACTCAACCGCAAGGAAAAAAAACCTCCCCAAGGGTAACAAGGCAACATCATGAGGAACTCATTCACCCGCAGCATCATCACCTTCGCTGCCACCATCGCAACTCTCATCAGGTACCATCAGGAACAAGGGAAACAGGAACCCTGGGGCTTCCTACACTTGTCTGGTTAAACCAAATCTCACAGGACACGCCGCTGACACCCTTCGTCTTTCTTTACTCGTTCTTCTCTCTTCAGCTTAACCGCCACTACCGCCTCGGCTGCACAGGTCTATGGAGTCCTCAATGGCGCCGGCGAGAATCCTCACCCTCGAGGTAACTCACCCATCTATACCCAAATCGGATAAATACAGCTGCAACAGTAACGGCAGACGATCATGATTCCGTTACTCAATCATATCCCTGCAACGTATAGATATCTCAGGTAGGACGCGTGTTATTCTCAGTGGCGGCCAGTACTCTGCCATGATCACAAAGGATGGCAAGTTCGTCTTGTAAGTTTCCTCTACCTCTCAACCTCACAAAACGAAACTCGCTTCAATGGATGATCTTGCAACCCAGCAAGCAACACCTAACTGACATCCTAATATCGTCTCGTTCGATCGACTATCTTCTTTCTTTGATTATTTGTCCTTAGCCCTGACGTCGCTGCAGGAAGCTATCTTCTGGAAGTTCAGAGTCCACAATACATCTACCCAACTGTACGCTTTATCCTCTAACAACTTCCACACATCATCTCGACGTTTATCACCAGCACCCTCAGGATAATAGACTCGATTCACTCAAACTCCTTAAAAACCTCTTTTACACCTCCGTCCGGGAACTTTACTCCATAATAGGTCAAGGTGATCGTCTCTGGAAATGACTCGAAGGCATATCTCGTCAGTCTGGGAACCGACTGGTCCAACAACGACAACGTGCTCCAGATCCCTCTCACATTGAACCCTCGCGCTCCCGCCTCTTACTTTATCGTACGTCTCATTTTTCTTTTGTTGTTGTTTTTGTTTGGGAGATCGTCAACCAGAACATTATGGGAAGGGATCATCAAAGTCTGACTTAGCATGGATTAACACCATCTCCTACCGTATTATATATGACAATGCTATGACTCGATTTGATAGCCCCGCGAAGGATTCAAGCTGTCGCATTTGTTCGCTAACCCCATGATGCTCATGATGGGCTTCAGTGTCTTGATGGTAAATGATTGGTCCCTCAAGATCGTTTGCTATATTTGCTATTCCCGCCACTCATCTTCGGATACCAACCCTCACTCTCGCATTCTCGCACTTTTCCCCTTTGATTGTAAATAGCTCTTTATCATGCCCAAGCTGATGGCCAACATGGGTAAGTATATCCACCAAATCAAATTGGAATCGGTTATATTGGCGCATAGGATGTTTGTCATCAAAACCCGTCGCTAATGCTTTTTTTTTTTTTTTTTTTTGCTGTTAGACTCCGAGGCGATGGAGGAGATGCAAGGGATGCAGGAGGCCACTCAGATGCCGAATTTTGAAATGCCTGATATTGCCGCCACACTCGCCAAATTCTCAACCGGCGGCGGTAGCACCAGCTCTCAGCCTGCTATTCAGGGATCGTCAACAAAGAAGAGACAGTAGAACACAACACTGGTCGATGCCTGTTGAGTTCATGCACATGTAGTAAAGGCTCATTAAGAATCAGTCAATAGAGAAAACTAAACCTCCTTGTCAATTTACAACCTAGTTTGTTTGGTCTTTATGAATTGGTTTGTCGAGTTTTACTTGAATACCGCGAAAAGAAAGGGAAAAGATATATAATGCAGTTATGAAGAAAAGAAAAAAAAAAAAAAGGAGGCAAGAAAACGCAACTATACATATGCATTGATCTACGTTCGATGGGGTCGAACAAGACGCGTCGTGACATCTGGCGGCTGTTCCACAAAGCTCTTGTTGTGGAGGTCCTTCTTCTTGCTCATCTCTAATTCTCGCGACTTGAACACAATGTTTGGATCCATCACCGCACCAAGGGCTCGTCTCAAGCCTCGATCCATGTATCCCAATCCAACTTGGTAACTGGCATTCATCCACCCGAACCCCTCACGTGGGATAAACTTGAAGTCCACACCAACGTTTCCATACTCGACCTGGACCTTGTGTGTCATCTTCACAATGTCGAACTTTTCGGGAACCACTCCGTTAAAGTCCACAAATGACTTTGTGATACTATTAGGATCCACCAAAAAAATAAACAATTGTGCATTGCAGACCAACAAATAAAAGCATGTTAGTTGCGCCTCCATAATTTCATACATCACTCGTAAAATCAGATTCATACAACAGAATGGTATGGAAGAGAACTTACGTGTACAACCACCTGTAGCAAGTGCGCCTGGCCTCTTCGATAAAGCCATAACGTTCAAACCCAATCCAGGAAATGATCTGGTGAGGTGCCCATCCGAAAGGAAAGTCCCACTGACGGTTAGGCCGTGCCAGGGTAATAAAGCCGCGGGACGATTCTGTGCCCGAGACCAATCCTCCCGTCACCTCAAACAACGGTAACGCCGAGGTCCTATTTACACAGAAAACGCCAGCGATAACACGCGCATGCATAATATTAGAATGGTTAGATATGACGCGGCTCGATAGCGAAACCAACTGAACAAGGCGACCGAAAGATAAGCATTAGCATGTACACAAAATACTTACATCATCCTCTCAGCTTTCTCACGATCTGCACATCCAGCCCACATGGTATAGAATGTCGTGACGCTCTCGTACGTACCCATCGCCTTCAACCGGGTGTCATAATCAAAGAACATCCCTCGCTCTTCGTTCCAGCAATATTGGTTCAATTTTTCCTGACGTACGCGCGCTCGCTCAAGCCATTCTGCAGCTTTATGGACCACCGTCGCGGGCCGATCCTTCGTGTCCAACTCCACAGTCTCGTAGCTCTCAAAGAACGGAGCCTCGAACGAGTCTCCAAAGATCGTCTGGATCGTATCCGCAATATCCATTTCGTACTTGTACAAAAGTGCGTTCAAATCAACAGTCGCGATATCCGCACAACAGTTGTCTAGTCGGTAAGTTGTATCGTGTCCGGACTCCCGAACCGCGCGGTCGTGCTTGAAGTACGTATCCAAGGCCGGTTCAATCACCGTGCCCTCGTTATACATGTGGCTGTATTCCTCGATCGACAACCCCATCGCATCCGCAAACGGTTTGATGACATGGTCAAAGTGCGTCGCTTCCGTCTCTGGTGGCATGCCGATTCCCTCGCTATAGAATCTCGATAGACCTGTTTCGGGATCAAGGCGAGGCTCCGACATCCAAACCGTGAAATACTCCTTAATCGAGGCCGTCAATGCCACCGCGAGCCATTGCTTGTTCTCATCCTCTAGACTCGGCGGAAGACGGTCATAAACCTTGAGCATCATGTCCGTCAGGAAGGGTGGCTGTGTTCTTGTCAAATAGTAACTGCGGTTGGCGTTCAGGATCTTGCCATAGTGCTGGATCTCGTACACGAAATTGTCGACCATACCCTTGGCCAACTCCAAACGACCGTCCACCAACAAACCGAGCGACTCAAAATACGAGTCCCAGCCGTACATCTCGTTGAACCGACCACCAGGCACCACAAACGGCACACCCTTCAAGGTCTCATGTCCATCCTCATCCACATGCTTCGTCATCGCCAAAGCCAAGATCCCGGGCTTCTCGTTAATTGACTGGACATATTTTGGGGTAATGTCCTTAGGAAGCTGTTCTACCTGCAACTGCAGATTCGGCTTGGTAATCTTTACACTGTTGTAGTACTCCAGAACCTCATCCTCACCATAAGGAACGTAGATCCGCGGAGCTGTGTTCTTGGACCGGTTCTTGGGATCATTCGAGATCATCTCCAGTCCTTCGGCATCGATTCGTCGAGTCAGACCATCCCAAAAATGATGTCGAATCATGCGAGACAGTCGATCAACAGGGTTCTCGTTCAGCCGCGCCTCGTCCAAGACTACGTACTTTCGGCCGTAGTCCTGTGCCAGTGAGAGTTCCTGAAGGAGGTTACTGAGCATGTAGGTGCCGCGGACATCATACTTGTTGAACCCTGCTGAATCGGCGGTTCCGAGGGTGATCACCTTTGGCCCGATATCATTGACCGTGATCTGAAAGTCTCCGTCGGTGTCTTCCTGCTCCAGGATCAGTCGCTGTGTCTCTTCCACATCAATGAGAAATCGTCGTGGTTTGATGGCCTTGTCGTCTGCATTCGATTTAAAAAAAAACCACACACACACGAAAAAACAGATATACTTATCAGAATCGTTCCGTATGCTACAATACTGCAACATTTTCATGGTGATGATCCGCCTCCACGGCGTCATCCAAGACATTTACAAAATGATGAACTTACCATGCGAGCCTCGTCGCTGTCGCCTGTACTTTGTGGTGCCAGCACCCGTTAGCGGATTTGCGGCGTTCTCGGTGGTCTGGCTTGCAGGCTTGCTGGACTGGTAGAGTCAATCAAATTGGAAAGGTACGGACAGAAAAACAAAATAAAAAAATAACCGGAAAGATAGGATGGAGTTAGTTCCTTTGAAATAGTGTCCTTTGAGTTCGCGCCGCGCAACCACAAAACGATTATCATGCATGTCAATTGGCGACTAAAAGGATCGGAGGGAAGGGATAGAAGCATCGACAGCAAATAATTCAGAACGAGATAAGCCCTGCATGAATATAGCATGCGCAAGAGCCCAGTCATGCTTGGTTTGCATGCAGATGGAGCAGAAGGACGAATCAAATAAACGGGAGCGACAAACACGAGTTTCCATTTTTGCTGACGTTCTGATCGTCATTTGTCCAAAGGGCAAAAGGTCCTTTTGCTGCCCTCTCCTCTCCCAGACATCCCCAGGCCGATAATCTCCTTGGATGCGGCTACAAAGGGGTGGGGCGAAAGAACAAACCCTCACCCTCCAAATATGGCTCTTTTCCAACAGAGCTGTGAAACAAAACACATCGCCGGCCCCAAAAATAAAACAGATCCAGATCATTAGAAACCAAGTCACTTACGCTGCTAAGGGTCCGGTGGCGGGAGACGTAGTTTGCATTGGCATAGTACTCGTTTGCTGGGACGGATGTAGCAGAGGGAGGGATGGGCAGTCCTGGGGTGCCGTCTGACATCCTCATGCTGGTGAACTTCTCTGTCAAGTTCATGATTAAGTAAGTATGTTTGGATACACACACACGCAGACAGAGGAAGTAAAGAAAAGGGCTCTCAGTAAAGCAATAAAAATAAAATGAAAATAAAAAATAGGGTGCTTGTTCAGCTGAATAGGAAAGTGGAGGTGAGTGGGTGATTCGACGAAGGAATGAGAAGGAATGGAGATGAGGAAGAAGGACGAGAAGGAAAAGGAGGGAAGAGAAGGAAAAGAGAAATACGACGTAAGGGAGGATGAAGGCTTCAAGAGATTTTCCAGCCTGTGACAATGCGTCCAGGTGCCTCCTCCAACCCTGCACCTGCACTCAGGATGGACCAATAATGGATCGTCATCGTCCTTGGTCCCCGCCCTCGTACAGAAAAAGCCAGCTTGCCTATTCTTTTTCTCTTCCTTCCTAAGGGGTGGGGGGAAACAGCGCACTGGCGCCATCCTCAGCCCATGTGTGGTTTTGCTCCCCTTATTGTCCGATTGGTTCATGGGAACAACCACGGTCCATCCCGTTTGTTCTTCGATCTGCCTTCTCCTCCTCTTTCTTCTGCCCATTGTCCACTAGCATCTTTTTTTTTAAAGAAACGCAACAGCAGAAATGACTCTCCAATGGTCTCTTCAGAATAAAGAACAAATCGGTCGATCTGATCTTGGACATGTCGTCTCGCGTGAGTCTTTTGTTCCAGCTCCTTATCATCCCTTCGATCCTTTAGTCCCTTACAAAGGGCACTTGGAACAGCCTGTAGCAGTCTAAGGATCTCATCCATCCTCCGATGGGTGGCGGCCGCAACGATGTGCTCGGAACTCAAGTATGATCATCACAGGCAGGCCTTTGAGGTCATCATGATTTCCTTTTGCGCACTAGCCACGTTCAGCGATAGGTTTCAGAAATAAAGTTTATTTCATCCTTGATTCAGTTCAACAAATAAATCTAAACACGTCACTTGGGTATGAATACGTCCGTACGTTGAACTCGTCACATCGCAAACGCGTTATATGGGTAAAGAGTAACAATTGTTATTATTGTTATTTATTTATTTATTTATTTTACAATGGATAGGTTGTATTGGGGGTCTACGCATCGTAGTTTCCATAGTGAAGGGCCCAGAATCCGGCGACCAAGAACACCGTTCCGATTACATCGATCAGCGACGTCCTATTATTATACATGACAAGAACAAGAAAGATAGTTTAGAAACCCCATTATTACATCTACATGAACATGCTTCGACAAATTTGGAAAAGTCTGAGTAGACTTACAAAATTGGCAAGGCATAGTTGTCCGGGTCATATCCCCACCTCCAGAACAGATGCGTGATCCACCTCGCCATCGCCAACGAGATCACCACCAGACTCAGTGCCACAATTGAATAACCCAACACCAACGCGCCGCTCCAATGCATATGTCCCAGCCCCAGCACTCCAATGATCACCAGGAACAAGATCTGGATCGGGATATGCACCAAAAACAGCGTCTTCTCCGTCTCCCGGTAGTTCTCCTTGATGTTCACATGCAACGACGTGCTGATCCGACTCGCGTAGATCGATCCAATATTGCCCGTCAACCCATTCAAGACCGGGGAGACCAACGCCATCCCGGGATAATCGTCGATGTATTGCTCCAGGGTCAGTCCTGCAGTACTAGCGATCACCATCGCAGCAAACACAGGACTCCAGCCCTCCTTGGCCACCTCGGCGACATATTTGTTCCGGCGTACGTATACGATCCACGCGGGGATGAGCGCCAGCAAAATGGCCAGCATGATCGCTGGCAGTGCTGTATCTGGTTGTTATCAAGAATCGAGTGAAAATGAAAAGAAAGGGGGGGAAATGAGTATGAATAAAAGAACGAACGCGACATTCCTCTTGTGAAGCTGTTGCTGTACAGATTTACCGACATTGAATTCTTACCAATGAACTTTTGCAGCACGACAGAGCACCCTGCTAAAATGACCAGTGTCACCAGATCTCCGAATGACGATGCCAGCGGACAAGCAATATTATCTACGGCGCACGGACAGGAACCAGTAACTCTTCTCATTAAGCATTTTTCTTAATCAGCCAGAGATAAAACAAAAAAAAAAAAAAAAAAAAAAAAAACATTTTTTCTCCCCAGACTTTCATCACTTACCAGGATTAATCTTATACTGACGACAGACCAGGACAAGTCCACACATGAACCCGCCCAGTACAAAACTACTCATGGCTGCACAGACCATACTCGCCGTGATCATCAACGCGATCTCGCTGAAGTTGTTCGTCGTAGAATGAACTATCATTCCGAGTCCAAACGAAAACAGACCAGCAACGGATCCCACCGCCAGACTCTGTAATTGGAGCAATGCCAAGTTTCCTTTGATAAACGCATTACGCGACACCCGCTGGTCCAAAAGTCCCATATTGGCCTAAAATTTGGGTAGAAAACCAAGTTTGATGAGTGAGCCCAATGTACTGTTACTTTGTATTCAAGGGGGAAAAAAAAAAAAAAAAAAAAAAGAGTGTTTGCTCCTTACAGCAGTAGAGAGTCGACTGGCCAGATTCATCTCGAGGTTCCCTTTGAGGTTGAGCAGGATGGGGATGAGGATAATAAGCTCCGAGATGTTTTCAAACACTGGCCAATGCTGTTTGTTTACATAGAAAAGAAGACGGATATGAAAGGTAGTTTTTTTGTTAGATAGGTTTGCGACCTTTTCCATGCATTGACCTCATATATATGTCGCTGTTACTATCCGTACCTGGATCACATCGAGCAGCCATCCCGCGCAGATGAGGCCAGCGACAGCCAAGACCAAAGTTGTTGACGCCTAGAGGACGCAAAAAGTTATAACGTAGTTAGTAAAAAATAAAAAAAGAGGGGTACATTGACGTTGTCCATGTGCTCCTGTCCATATTGCTGAATGTCACTCATGCCACAGATCCTTCTTGTCTGTCTGCGTGTCGGTGATGTCCCCATAAATAGCTTTGGGCAATTGAGATCGGGAATCAGATTTGCACTGAAATCATTCTTCCAGCCCTATATCTATGGCCCACAAGAACACCACTGCGAACCGCAGTGTGGGTAGTGATTCTACGCTCCAGCCCATCGACTACCAGTCATCAGGCATGTGCACTAATCCAATGGTCCATTCCGCGTCTTCTCATAGCCTTTCGCCTTTGATAAATATAGAAAATAGGTTGTGCAGGGGTGATGATAATGGGGCCTTTCCTGGGAGGTTTTCTCTTACCTGCATCAACAGTCCATCTCCTTGTCCGTCCTCTCCGCCATAGTATCCCGTCCCTGCTTCTTCCTCGTCTCGACCAAAGGATCGTCGTTCCGGTTCAGAATACTCCATATCCTCTGCGGTGTATTTCGGTGGATGTGATAACTCCTTTTCTGCATAATCTCCTCCTCGCAAAAGCGGGGACGACGTCTCGACAGCCACCATAGCCGTAGCATTGCCACCAGAGACCGATTGCGGACGAATGTTGGCACTGATCCTCCACGTTGACCGATCAATGACAGTCGCACTCGCCGTTGTGGTCGCTCCTGAAGGCGATGCGGCCACAATTCCTAGTGACGTCCTCTTGTGCGAGAAGCGTTGTTGGTGGTGATGCTGTATAGGAGAGTCCGCTCCTGATTCGTCTTCCCCTTCTGCAAAGACAGTGGGAAGAGATGGCTGATCAGGCATCGAAAGGATGGATCGGATGCTGCTCTGACTTTGGGATCGATGCCGGAAGTGTCGGTAATTGACATTCTGTTGAGGGGAGTGATAATGCTGCCGATTGGAGAGAGGACTGGGATGACCGCTGTTCCCACTGCTGGTATTGCTAGTGTCGGGATCGTCGTCGCCCTGGCTATGTTCTTGTGTGTTCCGTAATGGACTGTAGTTCGTCTGGGAGAACGGTGAGGAGGAAGCAAAAAGTTTGGACATGATGCTAAACCGGCTTTGGTGTGTATTAAAAAGGACTAAGACTAAAGGCGAGCTGGTTCTCTGTTGCGCGTTTGCTATCCTTCGGGGTGAAGGGGAGCGAACGAGTCCAGGAGGGGTGCTGGATTGCAAGAAGGGATCTGCTATAGAAAGCAGAAAGTCGCAAGTAGGGATCGAATTGTGTGCAGCTGCAGTATAGTTTGTTGATCGTATCTTAACGCGTAGGAAAGGTAAGACAAATAAGGTGTTCAGGCACTGGTACAAACGAACAAATCGGCACTAGTGGGAGGGAAGTATTTTATAGAAAAAGGGCTTGAGTGGGAATCAGGGGGAAGGCAAGGTAGAAGAGGAATCGTGGAATTGGGAATCAACACATGCAAGGTCGAGATGAACAATACCAGCGACGAGGTAATGAGTTAAACAAGTATGCAAAGGAGGAAGAAGATAAGTTGGGCTGGTTTGAATAGGTATGCAATAATGTGTAACTATGCGCGATAAAGAGAATAGAGAGAGCGAATCTATTGGAGAGGGTCGTACAGAAGGAATGAGGAAGAAAGGGACGAATGAAATGAACGAATGAATGAGGGATTAAGATGAGAGAGAAAGAGAGAAAGGACTTTGACTGAGCGGTAAAGAAGAAGCTCTTTGGCATCAATATGGAATCAATATTACCTTCACGCGCTAACCGCTATGAACCACTCCTACAGTGTACAAGAACCTGCTGTCTTTTTTATCACTGGTGCGATAAACAGCAATGTTGCCCATCCTCTTTCGTCTTCATGGTAACACACACATCTGAAGCAGCACCTTGAGCTGGAATGCGAGTGGAGAGGGGAAGGTGCTCTGCTCTCGAGAGCCCTCGTTGTTGTCGTTGAACAGATGTCTATCAATCCCATTTGTGCTTTGCGCATCAAAATAATGCTCAACTCTACGTGGACATATGAATAGTCAAGGTTTTTTTTTTTCCTGTGAGCACAAGGATAAACGGGTGGAAGTCCAGGAAGGTAACCTGCAACAGCTACAATTACCGACGGATTGGACGTATTTCAGCTCCTTTTTTAATTGCGTAAAGGTCTTGCCCCCTAGTCTTTTTCTTTTTATACCATATCGCATGGCTGCATGTCATTTTACTAATCACAGCGATCCCTGCTCTGCGTTCGCTGAGATCCAATAACAATGATCCCTACATACAAAGATGCGCAGGGAACAACCTGCATCAGGAGCATAAGGACAAAAATAAAGACAACCGATCCGACGCAACATTTTTCCCAGAGCAAAGGTGTGCCTGCGAACAACGTATTTCCGGTAACATTGAGGTACCTTCTTTCTGTCGATCAAACTGGGCATCGAGACCTCAGGCTGGGCAAAGCAGAGTGATCCTTCGATCAACAACAGGGACAAGGGCACGAGGGGGTTCGGATATGTTTACTGTGTTTATTCAAGATATGTGTAGAGATAATGTCAAGTTGCTAGATGAGGTTCTACTGTGGTACGTATTGCTTCCTTTTATACAGACAGGATAAGATACGCATTGGTAAAGGCAAGACAGACAAAGCGAGACGAGGGGTGTCGTGCTGGATACCCCTAGCCCAGACTGGACAGAGGAAATTGGTTCCTGACACACCCCTGTCTGGGCTAAGCAACCTGGCCGGGGTCGCGACACTGGGTTCCTTTTCTCTTTCAAGGCGGACCGCATGCTGCGATGATGGGTAGAGCTGCGCCCATGTATCTTTATTTCTCTTCACAGATCATAGCTGTGGCGATACGTCCATGGTGTACTCCAACCTTCGTGTCGATGGTTCGTCTTGTAACCGTATACATATAACAGTGATCCATTAAATTTGATGCAAAACGAGAGTATCGGAGTCGGTGGCAACCATTGAATATAAACGAAATGATCTCAACAAATAGCACACCTGCTAATAATCCTAGGCCAGCAAAACTAATTGACGTCTACTGGCTTTAATTGACAAAGTATCAGTCTATAGTACATAAGGACATGATTGCGGACGAAACAAAGTAGCCTCTTTTCTTTTTCTTTTTTCTTTTTTCTTTTTTCTTTTTTCTTTTTTCTTTTTTCTTTTAGACAGCTCCACCCCTTTGAGAGACCATGGCAACAAGAGCAGCACCGATGCATCCTCCATCACGCGCGAGCTCCAGGCGCACACGCGAGGCACGATCAGCACCCAGGATCTGCGTCAACGCATTCATCATCGAACGCGAAAAGTGTGGGTATTTTTCAAACACAGATCCGTCAATGCCGATTGTCGTAATCTCGCTAGGATCGTCTAGATGGACAGAGCTTCCGTTCGCCTTGTACAACAACGCCGTACACGCAGCAGCAACCATGACGGCCGACCGCTGGCCGATCGCATGCACGAGCTCATAAACCTTGGAGCAATCTTTCGTGGAAAGACCCTCAATCGCAAAGCTGGTCTTGAAGACACGGGCCACGGCAGCGTGCTCGGAACTGTTATCAGACTCGATCGTAGACATGAACAGGGTCTTAAATGACTTTTCAACCGTGAGCAACTCGGGAACTTGGCCGTCCAGGAACTCAAAGAGGGCGCGACGTTCGATCAAGTCCACAAGTGCTCGGCGGAAGAGCTCGCCCAGGTACAGACCCGAGACCATCTTCTCGAACTCCTGGAATTTGGGCACGAGCGAAAAAGCGTCGATGTCCTTGTCGTATTGGGTCTGAGGCAGATAGGCGGCCTTGCCCATGGCATCCCACTCGGTGTTGAGGATCATCTGGTCGCAGGATGGGCCCTCGTATTTTGAGACCTCGCAGGCGCGCTCTATGTAGGCGGCATTGGTGCCTGTGGCGAGGATGACGCCGATCTTGGTCGAAGGTGAAACATACGCATGCGAGACCAAGGTACCAACGGTGTCGTTGATGATGGCCGAGACTACGACGGGCACGTTCTTGCGCTTGAATCCGTCCTCCATCAGGTCCTTAAGGTCTTTGCCCATCACATTCGAGAGATCAAAGCCCTTGCCCATGGCCAACACCTTTCCTCTGTTCACTGCAGTCTGGCTAGAGATCGGAGAAAAAACGCGATGTTTAGTATACTCTGTCTTGGAGCCGGAGGGGACGTAGTTCGGACATTGAATGAGAAAAACAGAATGTGCTTAAAATCGCGCCCTTCAAATCGACCCAGTCCTTCTTGTCTGACGACTTACTGTAGTGCAAAGGAAAAGGTTACACCCATGTGAAGTTGCGAATCGCCCATATCGACAGCGACGTTTTTGAGCAGTGTTGCAGTGCAGTCAGCGATCCAGTCAAACATGGCCTCGCCCGTGCCGGTCTTGAGCTCCTGAGTGATCTCGTGTTTCTCCATCGTGACGCCAACCTGGCCGTCTCCGAGCAGATGCACAGCCGCGGTACGAAGGTTGGTTCCACCCATGTCGATGGCCAGGTAGAGGCCGGTCTCCTTGCCGGTGGGTAGGTGGGTGATGAAGGATGGCTGCTGGGTGATATTCTTGAGATCCTTTGTGCTGAGACCCTCGACGAGTTCCTCGGTCAGACCATCGATAATCTTCTGGACCTGCTTCTTTGAGAGCACAAACGCATTGACGGTGTCTTGAAATGTAGAGATAGTCATGATGTTCGTCGGCCGCTGCGGTTATTCAGTGGTAACAAGAGTAATTGGTGAAGTTGCAAAAAAGACGTGTTATTGTGAAGAAGCAATGACAGAGAAAGGTTGGGGTGAAAGGAAAGAGGGAAAGAACAGAACACCTTTATAACGCTGAGATCCCCACTCCCCTCCGCAGCTCCTCATTGGACGGACACACAACGTAATCTTATCTCTGTTCTCATGAGGAAGCCTTTTTTTTTTCATTCTTTAAATGGCCACTACACCTTTTACGTCCTACCGTTCTTCTTTAATCATGTCGTGTCTTTGTTGTGGAGAACAGACCAAGCGGTAGACAGCAACAATACAAAATAAGGCCCTCCCCCACACGACTCTTCCTCCTCCTTTCAAGTCATCAGATTACCTCGAGAATTATGGGAATGGAAAGGGTATCTACCCTAGGGTTTGCATAATCAAGTCTCACAGTCGGAAGCTGTAAACAGCAGCGATCCGCATCAAAGCCTTCAGTTGGTCTTTTGGGGGCATCACGGTGTCGACCTCTACATCCGATGTTACTTTGATCTAGACAAACTCCTATTAACATTCAGGTGCCGTAGAAATGGTAGAATCAATGAGGAAAAAGGACAAACGGATGTCCAAATAGAAATGTGTTGGCTAGAGAACAAACGGATCGATAGCAACGGTCTCAAACGCTGTTTCCTCTTCCTCTCCACAAACAATGCTCTTCCCTCCTTTCTTTGTTTGTCCCCACCCTACGCATCGAAGAGTTGACTGGCTTCTGCTACCCATTCGCTCACAGAGATACATGTATGAAGGTGTGATCGCGCCCGATAACGCGCATGCATCCCCGGTGTCTGTGTGATTGTTTCTCACCTAGTGTTGATCAAATCAATAACATAAATGGGCGCACCTGTGCAACAATTCGGATGGAACTTGAGCCGAAATACAACTCCTGATCTTTGCCTAATATGCACACAGTCCTCTCCACATCCAGCGGCATACCTCTCCGAAGGAGTCGAAGCCGTGAGATCCATGATTCATGCTTGTTTTGTTGGCGACAAACAAAAAAAAATAATCAATGATCAGATTGATCAGCACTCCATAACTTCTGCTTGTTCCTTCTCACTTTTTTCTCATAGTTTTCCGCCGATGTGTAGACTAGCATGTTTTAGGGAAGAAGAAGATGGGGCGCCTTCTTGGTACTGTTGCTTTGGTTTATTAAAGAGGGAAACCTCAGTTGTTCCTGGCCTGAGATGTTTTCATCTCGAAAACTTTAATTGACGAGATAAACCCTTTGGGACAAAATGATTGGTAGATCTTTCATATCTTATCGGTGCCTGCATCATAACAATCCTACGATCCTCTCAGTGCATGCGGTCTGTAAATTGAGCGTGAAACAAATGTGCAACGATAGACAATGCGATGGTAATGCTCTCAGCAATGGTGCTAGTTGATATTCCTGTCTGCTTGACCGCCCTAATGGCGACCTTGGGTCTTTGTCCTCTGCTGATGTTGTTGATCCGCATACATCTTCATCAGCATTGCGACCAAGGCCTCCTGGAACTCAAAGCACCCCCTCTGTCCCTGGAATCGCCCTTTCAAGACCTCCATCACATAACTTCCCAAATCCACCCCCCGAAACGGCACCTGGGACCTCTCTGCCACATGCCTCACACACATCTGAGCCACGCTCGCAAACTCTCGCCCCCATCCAAAGTATATCTCCAACACATTCTCGTCCGTCACGACCTGCTCCAACTCACACAGATGCCACTCCATCCACACAATCGAACTCGCACATTTATCGAGCCCGTATTCTCTTGAGAGCAGGAATGAGGCGCGCCATTGCTCGCTTCGGGGGACAAAGCCCTCTTGTGGCAGACGACCGGAATAGATAAAGCCAAGCATTCGTTCGAAAGCTGGGCGCAGATCGATGGTTGCTCTGAGGACGGTAGTAAGGGCACGTTGATAAGGGTTGCTCTGGGCTTGGGCCATCATTTGAGAGAAGACTGGGAATATGGATAGAACGGCGTGATGAGCTCGGAGGCGGTCGAGGACCATGCCGGCCTTGGAGAGGAACCGGAACTCGACATCGGAGGTCGGGATGTGGTGTTCGAATTGGGTCATCATCTCGACGAGGGGGTCGATGTTCCGTGCGACGGGATCACATTCTGAGAGTGTTAGGGTGTGGGTCCAATGCGAGCCGTCTGGTGGACCGAGGAGTTTGAGTGGGTAAGAGGATAGGATGATGCGGAACTCGTAGTGACCGTCGATCCAAATGTCTTCGCGATCTAGGTAAACTTTTTTTTCTTTGTGTTAGGATCTCTGTGTGGTCTTGATCCGCTTTCCTGCTACCAAAAATGGAGAGATACTTACACTCGATACCACGCTTGAAGAGATCATCGCTTTTGATCTTCTTACTCAGCAATACTTCCGTGCCTTCGGGGTCTTGATCAAGCGATGGGATGATTTGAAAACTGCAGCAGAGAAGGAAGTCAACGCGGTTGGCCACTGTGGATGGCAAGGGTCCTAGGGCACCTCGGATCGTGGATTTGTCCTCGAGGATCGACAGTTGGCACATCCAGTCGTGGATCCCAGTCTTGGCGATCGTTCCAGTCTGGTCTTGCGTCTGCAGTTCAAGCGTTGCTTGGTATGGGATGCGAAAGTGGAGAATGCGGATATCGTGCGCCATGGTTGAGGTCATCGTTTGAAAGGGATAGGAAGAAAGAGTGAACGGAGGATGAGGCTGGCGACATACATGGAAGCAATATGAATGATGTATGGTGTCCACAATCACCGAGACATCGAGTGATCGCTGCTGACCTGCATTTCTTTATCTTCAAAGACACGTCTGATATCTATTCTTCCTTCTCTTTCTGGCCTCGTCCTCAGTTCAGCATGTTCCTTGCGTCACCATCTCCTGCAGCTTGTTCGGGCTACCTCTTGCTCCTTCTTCTCGGAATCTTCTTGCTGCTAGCAAGACCATGCACTTCCATCCTACGATGGAAATCAGCATCCGCATCCGCCGTCGACGAGGATCGACGCGAAGAACCTCCTCTCCATCAGAGTCTACAAGACACTGTATCTCCACTTGACTCGAATCGACTGTGTAAGACCTGCTGCATCAAAACACAACAGCTGAACCACACGAGTTTTATTGATAGCATTGATGTTGCTTGCCACCATAATAGATTCATCCAAATGGGACGAGGCTGCAGCTACAGAGGAATATTCAATCATGCAACAAGCATCAGGTGCTCTCTACTTTTTCCTTCGAATAATCGCTAGATGCTTGGCGGCAGATACGTGTACTATAGTCCTTCGCAGCTCATAGCATCGACATTCCCCTGATCTAGATGCGCTGAAAGCGTACGATTACAAGCCCAACTGCTTCAAAAAGGCTGCCCGCGCCTTGCGCCAGGGTTGCAAAAATATCGACACGGACGAAGATGAAAAAACAAAATGTAAATATCACGACAATAATACATACCATAGCTGGAATGACCTCATTTGCAGACAAGGACAATGACAACGACATTCATTCTCACGCCTTTATATTTCCTCATCTCAGATGCGATACGTCTGACGGGGTGCGAGATATCAACGGCCAATATGCCTGTGCCGGTCGAATGTCGAGCGATCAGTTCGTTAGAAGGTCGGCAGGACAACAAGGTATCCGCATCTGAGATTGCGCACTGCGTGCAGTAAGTTTTATGCTTGAAAAACCTTGTATCGAGACGCGTTGTTTGGGTTTCGCGTTATTCGAAAATGTCCTAACCATAAATGCATAGATCTCTTGGACGGGTTCCTCAGCTGTGGACATCGTATTCGGGATACTTTCGCGAGGTCAGAGTGATGTGTCTGGCGGTCAGGTATTCTCTCGAGCATGGTAAGGCATCTCGAAAAACAAAGAATTCGTTTACGGAATTAAAATCGTGTTTACTCGTGCTCCGATGACCTACCTTGAGAATAAATAAATAACTAGATGATCTTCGCAGCTTGCAGAGGAATCTCACGCAGTCGCATGTGGATCAGATAAAATTATTGAGAGAGCAGCGACGGGAGCTGGAAGAGACCCATCGAGTCGAGACAACGCGCTTGAAAGAAATCCTGGATTTGCACTCAACGATTTCGCAAGAAGTAAATTCTATGCTGGTAAGAATCATTTGCTTTCTTCTCTCTGACCTGTTGATGCAGCTCAGTATAATAACTTCTCTTATCCTTGCCTGAACTTTTTTTTTTCGAAACCCATAATAGTCGTCGGCAGGTGCGGTCCGGAATACTCTGGGCACGATCTTTGACGATGTGTCCAATATAGTGCGCCATAGCAAAGAAGGAGCAGCTCAGCAGAGCAACGCACTGACCAGTCTGCAGGAAATGAATGGTCAGATATTGAAAGCGTATCAAGGCAGCATGGAAGAGGTATATATCATTTATGTACCCAGGGATCGTCTTTCAAGGGCTGGATCGGCTATGCGCTGTAAACTGATGTTCAATCTGACGGTGTATACATAGACGTTGAGATTTATGTCGCAGGCGATACGCCGATGGCATGAAGATTCTATGGTAAAATCGGTGGACCCATTTTCAATTGCATATTTCATACCGCTTGACGCAGGTAGGTCCTATGTTCATTCTCATACGTTTGTCAGTCTAAAATCTTAGAGTCAAGTGAGAGTTTGGACGGCGTCGTGAGTCATATTGGTGAGGTCAAGGGCTATCTGGAGGACCTTAGAACAGCAGCCTTCAATGGCACATGGTCCCTTGTGAATATCCAAGACACAGCCGCCAAAGAGATGAATTTGACAACACAAGCGTCGCTCTCCAATCTGATCGCAACGCTCGACGCACTCGAGTCCCATAGCCAAGTTTCATGGCATCATATGATGGACAGTCTCAGGGCCGGGAGCACAAAACTCCATGCAGAAGTGTCGACGGCGATGGAGGAGACCATGTCAGACATTGGACACATGGCCACGACTTCGCAGGAGAAGATTGAGGAGCTCAATCGAATGGTCAATGAGTTCCAGACGAAACAGGGAGACGTCCTTTGGCAGCTGCAGACCATTCACGGGACCTGGAGATTTCTTACAGGTGAAGGTCCTCGTAATGGTTGATCAGCATTGTCGACCATCGGTCGTCAATAGCTAATGGTTTTCCTTGCTTTACGATTACCATATGATGCGGTATGATATAACATAGGTGCTGCAGTGGAGAGAATGTCTATAGTTGAACTCGCAGCGTCGGTCGCGATCCTCGGCGCAGTCTTTCTGATTAGCGGTATCAGGGCAGCCTGTAAGCCCCGGATCGTTGAGTGTACCATTAATTCAACAGCACGAGTCTCTGGCAACGGCTGACCATTTATTATACAGTGCTACTCGTAGTGTTGTCAATCCTCGCTTCCATTGGCTGTGAAAGATTGCCGTTCCGGATGTCATTCCTGCAGGGCCTCCTGACTGTGATCAGCTTGAAAATTTGCGCGCACACTGTTCGACGGTATCGCCCTTCTGAGGCATCATCCAAGGGCCAGCAAGCGCGTGAGTCCGATGTCGTTATGCGAGGTAACCTGGTGCAGCATATCGACTGTGCGCACGAGGGAGATGTGTTTGACAACGAGATCAGTGTTTACGACCCTCCGCCTCGGTATTCACAAGAAGTGGGAACGTTGATCCATCGCCAAGTTACGCTTCAAGATCGCGATCGAAATGAGTACACATACATGCTGACTGATTTGCCAGCAGAGTTGTATGATGATGATATTGACTACATGGGCGAATCCTTCGGTCTTTCGCTTGGATCGTACACGTAGGAGGAAGCAGAGCGTTTACATTTTTTTGCAGAAAGCATTTATTATTGCATATACAAAAGCGAAGAGACAGTCAAGCCGTTCACGCCATTTTTTATGTGTAATCGAACGACTTATTAGTTTTTTTTATATTCTTTTCTCTGTCTATGAGATGACTGCAGAGTGAATGAAGTGAAAGATGAATGTACAAGCGTTGCGGTGTGAAGGAAAAAAAGAAAAAAAAAGTGGTATTCGTAAGTGCCATGCCCATGGCTCACAGTTCAAAAGGATGCTTTTTAAACCTTGTGGTAGCCGGCAGGGACGAACGGCATCTTCGTGACCGTGGCCTTCTGCTTGCGTCCACGGACCTCAACCTGAAGCTCCGTTCCGGACTTGTGGAGCCCATTCTTCACATATCCCATCGCCACGTTCTTCTTCGTCGAGGGCGATGGGCAACCAGACGTGATCTTGCCGACCAACTCTCCCTCAGCATTGAGAATCTGAGCACCCTCACGAGCGGGCGCGCCCTGGACGACGAGTCCGATACGACGTTTGCTAACGCCGTTCTTGAGCTGATCCAGGATCTTGGCCGCACCCAAGAAGCCGCCCTCGGCACGGCGGCGTTTGCCGATGGTCCAGGTCAGACCGGCCTCGACTGGAGTGATGGTCTCGTCCAGATCGTGGCCATAGAGGCACAAGCCAGCCTCGAGACGCAAGCTGTCACGAGCACCCAGACCTGCAAGTTCGACGCGAGGATCTGCGATGAGAAGCTTCGTGAACTCAACGGCGTCGCTGTTAGGGACTGAGATCTACATAATTTTTTTTTCAATGGCGACAAGTAAACTCATTAGAATCGGTTGCTCCGGACCTTGCAATCAGCAAACATTCCAGTGCAGGCGTCGTTTAGTGACATACCTCAAAACCATCCTCGCCCGTGTATCCGGAGCGAGCAACATGGCATTCAATACCCTTGATCGTCATGAACCGCCCATCCATGAACGGGAAATCCCTCAAATCCTTTCCAACCAACTCCTCAAGGACCGCAGCAGCCTTGGGGCCCTGAAGGGCCACGAGTGCGTGGTCGTCAATGATCTTCAGGTCCACATCCCCACCCTTGTTCTGAAACTCCTTGAGATGGGAGCGGATATGAGCCAGATCCTTATCGGCACAGCCGGCGTTCGAGACGACATAGAGCGAATCCTCATGCTTGCAGATGATAGTGTCGTCAATGATGCCTCCCTCTTCATTCGTGAAGACCGAAAGAGTCGAGGAACCGACGGGGAGGTTCTCGATATCGGCAACGGTCAAGCTCTCGTAGAACTTGACGCGGTCCTTACCCGTGATTCTACATATGGACGAATAGGTCAAAAAGGATATAAAAAAACAATAGGGTGGTTAGGAGACAGGAAGGATGTCGTTACGATCGAAAACGTCGGCCAATGTGCGTGTATTCTTTCGTTCTCTTACCTGGTTGCCAACATGTGGCTGACATCAAACACGGAGGCATTCTGACGAGTCCAGTTATGGGAGGCTCCGACACCGAGGTTGGAGTACTGGACGGGCATGGACCAGCCAGCAAACGGAACCATCTTACCACCGTTCTCAACGTGATAGTCGTGCAACACAGTCTTCTTGAGGGCCTAAAAAAAGCATCATGCCAGGTATCAAGCCAAAATTCGCTGTTAGATGCAATTGCTCTGGCTCTTTTACAATACTCTGATCTGCTTCTGTCTGATCGTCGCCTAGTCTTCACATATGCATGCTGAAAGATCCACTACAAGCATTCGGTCAATGTTCATGCCACTCCACAGTATGCCGATGGTCCCCTGGCATGCATCTCAACATATCCAAGTGTCCATTCATATCTTGCAATTTGTTCAATGCTCCAATAGCAGTCTGACAAAGAAACGAACGAATGGCATGTTGAGTCATTCCTCATTCACAAACCAACACTATTTCTCGCATCCTGAAGCAAAGTCCTTACCTCGCCGGTAGCAGCGGCCGAGTAGGCGCGCTGGGTGGAGCGGGCAACGCTCGAGGCAGCGGGGAGTGATCTGGCGAACCTGAGGGCAGACAGCATGATTATTGGATATGAGAGAAGACGGGGTGATTGCGAAGGCGGGAAAGAATGGAGAGGGTAGCGAGGGGAAGAAAATCTGGAGAGGAGAAAGAAGGAGAAGGAGAAGATGATGAAGAAGGAAGAGAGGAAGAAAGGCCGGCCGCTGGTTACCCCCAATGATAATGGTCTCTTGGTGAGAAAATGGGACAGAGGTCAGGGCACGAAGAAGGAACGGAGAGCAAATTTTCTTTTTCAAAGTTGACTCGGTGGAATGGGGTCGGCTTCTTATTCGCTCGCACCACAATTGTGCGAATAAATTCATACTGCCCGCAGGGAGCCAACTTCGACCACCGAGGCAAAGAGGGTTCTGGCAACTTTGCCCAGACTGACCCACGCGTCGCTGTCTCTCTGTCGGGGAACACAGGAATCCATCTTCATACACCGAGTCTAGTCCTATGTATATTTTTTTTATTTTTCTTTCTTTGACTGAGCCTCGACCACTATCTCTGGAACGCGCTGGGGCCATCCTCTGCTGATACAACACTCATGCATCTCCACTCCTTAGTATATGTCGCTATTAAATACACCGCAAGAAACAGATAAAAAGTATTAGTGATCTGGACGTGTCATCCTGTTCTGTATCGCACCACGCAATAGCTCATCGGCCCCCGAGTCCGCACCTTTCCACAGGCGAACTTTCCCATCGTCTCCTGACGACGACAAAATCGTTCCAGTAACATTCCACTCGACACGCCACACCTGTTATATCGAAAAGCAACAACATCGGGTACCAGTTAGTGCTGCACAAGTTGTATCCTCAATTGCCACTCAACCACCGGTTCCTGATCACACACTCACCTCGGCATTGTGATCTGCAAAGTCGGCAATACACTCCACATGGAACAGCTTACGGGTCCATCCACCAACTAGTGCTCCTTCCTCACGATCGTCCGTCAACTTGAATATCCTGACATGTCCGTCTTTGCATGCTGTTGCAATCAAGTGATAACTCCTGCAATACCAGTTGTATACATAGAGGATAGTGCAAATATAAGAATAACTTTGTCAATTGTTTGATCCGCAATTTGATAACCACCCTTCGCACACGAATAAAGATTTTTACTCACCTCCCCATATTGGGCGCCCAGCTCACATCATGAACCACATCTCTATGTCCGTCCAAAAGCTCGCACGCCTGCCATTTGTTGTTCAAATCCTGTCTAAAGATCTATCCAGCCATGACGAAAAATCAGACCTTGTTCAGCATTTTACTGTTCATATCATCAAAATCCGTTGTGTTTTCCCGGACTCTTAGACCGACCTTTGCAATTTTGTCCTTCGCACAGCCTACGACCATCATCTGAGCCGTGAATTTTGATGTGCACCAGGACAGGCAGTGGTTTCCTTCCTCATCCTTGCTGGGGCCCTCCCCTACAGGAAACGAGTCGATCATAGTCCAGTGTGCGAGACTTGTCACATCCATAGCCTCGTAGATCTTGACCAATCCATCTGCAGCAACAATGGCCTAAAAATCGTGAACGAGAACCATGATCAGCCACCTTGTCGCCTTTTTCCCCCCCTTGTAAATGTGGTGTTTGCGGCCAGCGCTCTTCAGACTGCGAGTGTCTTAAATGATCCTGTTTGATCCTTTCATACCAAGCGAAGACCCAGGTGGTTGGGTGCGAATTCAACATCCTGGACAGTTCCGTTTCCGTCTCTCAAAGTCGCAACTGGCGTCCATTTTTTGGTCGCATCTATCAACGACAAAGATGCGTGTGTGTGAGAGGAGGAAAGAAGGTGCGTTCAATACTACTTATGCATCGAGTGTGAAATGACTAAGCTATTCCCCTAAAGTCCTGCTTACCGTGATAGCTCTCTTCCCAGACAATGACGCTTCGATCAAAAGAACACGACGCGAGCACCTGGCCATACTCTGGATGGGCCCACGATGTCTTCAAAACTGCGCATGAGTGGGCCTACAAAACAACATGATAACAAGTCAAAAAGAAAAAAAAAAAATGCCCCATATTGATTAGAACCACTGCTTGACGGTTACTGTGACACTGTTACGGCCTTGGAGCGGTTCTGAGTATTGCTTGCCTTGAATGAGATGGTTGATTCCCAAATGCCATCCGTTTCGTTGTAGTCCCAGATCTTGATTTTCTGATCCGACGAGCAGGTCGCTGTTGCAGTAGAAACAATGGAGAGGACTGTTGAGTCAAAGTGCGCCTGGTTCTTCTGGCTGTCTTTGCGTGGTGAGACAAAACTTGCATCAGCAAAAGCAAAGCCCTGTCATTACCAAGTCGGTTTCCGTAGTAGTTGAATGCAACATCGTGGATGAGATCCTCGTGGGTGCCGTCGAACTTTGTCACCTGGTTCATCCTGTATAGTTGTCGAGTAATGATAAACCTCCTGCTAAGTCCTGTCCTGAAGAGTCCACAGAGATAAGTCTCTTGTCGAAGAAAAGAAAAAGGAAAGGCTGTGTTCGTTGTCGCGTCAAGTTGGAGGGTGACTGTGCAATTGATTCCAGGAAGAGTGTCAATTTGCTCTTCCTGGAGCAAATAATACTTTCAAGACGAAGAATTGGGTCCCAGCCAAGATGCCCGAGGTAACCTCCCCTGAGACAGTCCCCTTGTGCTTTTAAATCCGCACCAGTCACGGAAAATTGGTTTTTTCAACTTTCGACGCGTCTTACCAGCACATATGTTTTGGGACTAATTCTGGGTCTTGCTGCCCTGTCTCGAACGCTTTGGCTGGCAGTCGCAAGATCAAAGACTACCGCAATATCTCTTTTCCTTCGATCCAAATGGAGTGAATTGTCGTCTTCCGCGGCGAAATCTCTACTTTTTACAATCCTTACAAGCAAAATAATGAACATCTATCCTTAATGGTATCCGGTAGTAGGCCTTTGAGCCTCAAAAAAAATAGAACTGAATGATAAAGAATTATGAAGCAAGGAAAGTCTTTGCGCAAGAACTATCCCGTGTATGCTGCAGTCTTGAGATAGTTCAATAGTGAACAATTGCAAGCGTCATGGAAGTCAAGGGTGACCGGAAGGAATGAACACGATTGAGAATGAGCCAACACCAAACCAAGAAGGCGTATCAATAAAAGTAAAACTTGAAATATCTTGACCAGAAGGCGTGTAGAATGGTATATTGCAAAAAGAGTATTGACCAAGGAACGATTTTTTTTTTATTAACATAAATCCCCATGAGCACGAGACAGCATAAATCCTTGCACTTAAGGAACGAGCTTTTTTTTTTTTTTTTTTTTTTTATAACAACTTGTCTCTCGAGTCAATTGACTCTGCGAATCTATCAGACTAACTAGCAAAGATCTACTATCGCTGTCCTCACCACCAAAGGGGGTTGTTCTCGGTCTGATGGACTCTGACTGCCCTTCAGACTGTTCGATGGCTTGTGGCTACAGCCGCAATCGAAACGACAGCCAACAAATAAGAGCTGTTCCAGGTCTGGCTCGTCACACATCACTTAGATGGTTAGCGAGGGAGTAAAGGACGGGAACACTAGGTAGTTCCACCCCTGTTGACTCAGCACACCATTAAGACCGTATCGGGTGAACGTGATTCAGCGGCACGTTTATAAAACTGTTGAGGCAACCAGACTAAGCACAGTGCCCCTGATTTAGTGAATGGGTTTTGTGGTATACAATGAGCATTACATTCGAATGGTTCTGCGACAAATAGAATGGCTAGAATCCTTTATTTGCATTCAGCTAACTAAAGTAATTAGTCTGCTTATCAAAATTGAGGACTATAATGTTAGTCCTGGCCTTTCTACGCCTCTTACGAGGACGTTGCTCTTTCCTGCTATCGTCCTCCGCTTCAACTTGAACCCCCTGCTCTGCTGTCTTTCGATCCACCTGAGTGCCTTCATCCTTGTAAATTATATCCCGCTCACGTTTCAGGGTACTGCGAAGTTCCTCGATTTCCAGATGAGCTGCGATGAGTTGAGCCTCATAATCCTCGTCCGTGCCACCCTGATCCTGTGGCGAATCATCATCTTCCTCGAGGGGCTGAGTCTCATAATCCTCGCCTGTGGCACCCTAACCCTGGGGCAAATCATCCTCCTCCTCGTCAGGTTGTGATGCTGGCACATATTCAGGCTTCGCCAATGCACGCTTGCCTAGTGCCACGTCCGAAGGAAAAGTCGGAGACCAATCTTCCTTCGGTACCTGTGTAAAAGGTACCGTCTCCTCCGACAATACCCCCACTGGCTTCGCCGTCGAAGTGGATTCCTCCTCCTGCTGTCTTTTCAGCGCAGCAAGGCGCTTAGCTTCACGCCTAGCTTCACGCAAGTCGATGATAGGACAAGATGGGACATAATGAAAAATATTGTGAAAATTTGTAGGAAAGTGTTTGTGTTGGGCAGGTGAATGAGAAAGAAAGAATGAGGAATCAACCTCGTTCATCTCTCACCTTGGACATCCATCCATCACTCATTCCCATCCGCATCATCTCATTGGTCCATGGGACATCAGATGATCTCACAATTTTGATCAGATGATCTTGACTGTATGATGTCACGAAAAAAAAAAAAAAAAAAAAAAAAAAAAATCCATGCACAATCAACCTAATTTACGCGATTCAAAATCTCTGCAGTACAACTCACTCTGCCTCATATGCCATACAAAATCCTGGAACTCGTGCCTCGTTCTCCAAGGGGAGGGGGAGCTGTCGCATATTTCACCAGAGTTCACTGTATATTTAGTTTAACAAGTGTACCTCCAGCTCACTATTATATTTAATACAAATAAATACCTAATCGGTGTGGTGTGTGGAGCCACATCTCTTTCTCACTTATTCTGAATCCCAAAAATATCTCATGTGGGGCGGTCTGTGAAGAAGCCAAGCTTTAGTTTTTAATGCGGGCCTAGCTTGCTAGGTTAGAAAGACGAGACGTGACTTGTTACCTCACAGCGATCCAGTGTCGCCGGATAGACAGGGGCTGTTTTTAAAAAAATGTACCACGCGAATGGCCCTCTGGAAACCGGACTGTGCGAGTGTTCTTGGACTGCCCTTCAGAGCTGGAACGACCCCCTTATGGAGCTAATCAAAGCTTTGAGCGGATTTTAAGTACTCAACGAGTTTCATCTTGTCCTGAAGGATCTGATACTCTCTCTCTTTGCCTTCTCCGCGGCGACCAGTGATCCTCACTTCGTTTCCATCTTCCATGTCATCATCGGCCACCGTGTGAATGGAAATAGCCATGTCGAAGAACGCCTTCCGTGTGGCAAGCAAATCCTTGCTCTGTGGCAGCTTAACTTAGATGTTCGGAAGAGTGTACATGGTCTCTTGCTCTGCCTTGTTGGAGTAGTCAAAGCCGTCCTGAAGCCACAAAGTGTGATGTTGTTCAGTGGAGATATTCCTGAGTGCAACGAACCTTTTGATGTTCATCAGGAGGCATGCCAGATTGTACTGAACGCCAAACATCTCTTTCTCTGCCACCTTGTTCACAACTGTATGACTGAACTTTGTGAACGTCGACTGCATCTCCCCGAAGTAGCTCTCAATACGAGAACGGAAGCTCCCGAAGATCTCATTGTAAGCCTTCTCTTCCTCAGTCAGTGCAATTCCGCGCCTTTTGCGGATTGGGTAGCAGAAGTTCTCGTACTGGAGCTCGTCCGCACTTTCTAGTAGCTTGCCGATAAACAGAGTGTATCCGTTATCCAACGCAACACAGTCCAGCTTGTGGATCTTGTTTTGGATGCCCATTCGGAGGAGCATGGTCCCATCGTTGTAGTCACGGCATGGCGCGGGTGCAGACACAAAATAGACCATGTTATTCATGTCTGTGCACACCTGCACACGGAACCCAGACTTCTTAAGCTTGTATGAATACAGACTAGCTTTGTCTGCGTTCACATAGATGATCCTAGAATCATGGCCATCCAAGTTGAGTGTCACGTTCTTGAAGGGGTCAGGGTTTCTTTCGGCAGCGAGATGACGCGACTTCAATGTAGAGAACATCTCAGACAACATCGTGGTTAAAAGGCGGCTTAGTGCGGAAAGATTATACATGTAGAACTCCTTGTGGATTGTGTGGAAGGATGTCTTCGGCATGTATTGTGCCATATCACTCAAGGAAACCCCTTTCACAAGCACATAAAGCAGCATGACGCCCTTCTCGACATTCCTGTACGGGCAAGAGTATGCTCTAGTGCCAAAGATCACGGTCAAGAAGAAGGATACAGGTATAACACCCAGGCGATTCAGCACAAACGTCTTGATACTGTCAATGTTATTCACAACAGCGATCTCTGTGCGGTGATGCTTCACTCTGTCGATGATAGGCCAGTCCTTGTGTAAGAACTTCCAGTGATTCTGCACGATGGCATCGTATTCAAGAGCCTCATCCATGATTCCGTTGCTTCAAACAAGCATTGGGTCGATTCATTTATTAGTAGCACGGTGGGCCGACATGCAAACATGGCCATCCGTACATTTAGCACGTTCAGCCCTCTCTGTTTTTCAACCCTCTTTATTTGACTGAGTATTGAACCCTCTCTTATTGCGTGGTGGGTAGTTTTTCAGATATCTGTTATTCTTAGATAGCGACTCGGAATTCTACCCACCGCGCAATAAGAGAGGGTCGCCAATAAGAGAGGGTTGTCAATAGGAGAGTCCGTCAGAGATATACCATGCCATTCTCTTGGTGAATGCCTGTGCTATTTAAATATACCAGGTGAAAAATGGCACCTTTTTAATAGTCAATCTTCATTGAATCCTAGATTTTTTTAAAATGCTAGAGAGCTGGCGAGCCTAGAGCTACATGTTCTCCTGGTCCTGAGTATGAGTGTTGAAGACACTGGCGATATACTCAATCATGTCGTCCTCGGAGTGGCCTTTCTTGAGCGCGAAGTTGCGGCGACTGAACTCGATCGGTGTATCCTTGTCGTCCTTGATGCGCTGGTAGACACGGTGCCCTCGAGGAGAGCGATCGAATCGCAACTTGTCCATCACAACGGCATCGAGCTCCGGATTGTCAGCAATAAATCGCTTCAAGCTGCGCTCAACATCCTTTTGCTGCCGCGTGAAAAGTTGGTATCCACCGACGGGCAATGGCTGGGGCGACCGGAACTTCAAGACAACAAAGACCTCCTGCTGTCTGGCTGGCCGCGCGAGGACACGGTCGAGGTTGGCTGCCTGGCGCGCACGCTCGGTGTTGGCAAGAGCATCACGAGTGTTCTGCAGCTCGAGTTGAGTCTCTTCGAGCTTGGTCTCAGTGTCCTCAAGCTCTTCCTGTGTTGACGCAAGGCTGTCGTTAGCCTCCAGGAGGTCCCGCTGTGTGTTCCTGAGGTCCAGTGAAACAGCCTCCAGCTTCCTGCGTAGTGCCTCAATAGACTCCTCTGACTTCGGCTTGTCTACGAATGGAGGAACAATGGTTGGCAGGTGTGCTTCAGTACGCGGTTGCAAAGGTCAATCGCATGCAGGTCGGTGTGTTATGCTCGAAATGCAGGACATACTGACGGTCATGGTGGAGGAAAGCAGGAAAAAAAGGACTGGGTGAATGGGTGAAGGAAGGAAGGAGAGGATGAAGGGAATGAAATGGGGTTGGCAAGCCCATTTGTAGGGCATGGGTGCCGCAGCATCGGGGTGGACATGGGAGAGATGAGATGAGATGCGACAGATGAGATTGTGATTGCTTTTTTTAAAAAGATGCACCAATCCTGATCCACCTGGTCCAGTCAAATAAGGAGGGGTTGCAAATTAAGGCTGGTATTGTACTGGGAACACGTCCTTCCCGATAAAAATAAATCAACAGGTGTAGCAACAGCAACAGTTTATATGAGCAAAATACAGAGTATTTCCGTCGGAAGGCACTAACCACTATGAACGAGGTGAACCAGTCGCCACTCTCTTGCTTGGTGGGGTGTCAGACGAAGGACTGCCATAAGCGCTCCTGTTCACAATCTCAGCCTTCATCAACTGGTACAGGGCAAGAACATAGCTAAAGACTTTCTCACAGTCCTTTTCCACGTCTTCCTTCTTGGTCTGCTTCAAGTCAAGAACGCCTGGGATGTCCTTCACTCGAAACGACAAGACGTCGCCCTCGTCCAATGTACATTCCACAAGTGTCCACTTGAATGAGTCCGTCACAATCCCATACGACTTGAAGCGAGCTGGTATTCTCTCTCCGCTGTCCTCGTCCACTTCGTCAATTCGTTTTCGTTTCTTTTGTTGCACGGCCACATCGAGTTCCGCCATATTTTGAGCTAGGCCTTGCGCATAATCCTCCTTCTTGACTTCCGTAACACCAAGAACTTGCGACTGATGTACTCGGTCGACAACAGCAAAGTCGACGGCCCCGTGACCACGCATACCGCTCATTGGCCGTTGTTGTGCCAGGAACATCTCGGAACCGTAGGATTGCATGGCTCCAACCATGAATGTATCGACAACCGATGACTTCGTTGCCTCGCTTGCACCCGGACCAAGCAGGTACGCCTTGTTCTTGAAAATACAGTCCTCAACGACGTGCTTCAATATCGTTTTCTCGTCTTCCAGCAATGACTTTGGCTGAATATCGAACGCTGGCATGAGTTCAAACTCTCGGACTCCATACTGGATCTGTGCATCCTTCCAGGTGTACGACGAGAACTTCTTGGCCGGGCTATCCAAAGATATGGTGAAGTTCTTGTGGCCATTGTCCTTGGCTATTTTCAAACAAGAGCGGAGCACGTCGTCGTGGCTAACCAAAACAGGTTTTGCACACCCGGGTTGATACAAATAAATTTGTACGTAGTCGTCTCCTTCAAACTGCTCAAAATGCGGCCGAAGGAGTTGTCGCAGTTCCTCAAGAGTTGATGTCACTGTGTCGGCCACGTATTGGCAAATTTTCCTGTTTCCTCCACTTCTTTTGTCCATGATTGCCATTGCTACCGAAAAAAAACAAATAAAATTAGCTTGCTGGTTTCAAGGACTTCGTAATTCAGCTCGCCGGGACCATTCTCACTTACAAATGGAAGTGCTTCTCAGATCCACGTTGAGCTGTTCCAGCTCGGACAACTGTTTGCGTAATGCAGCCACCTCGGGATGAAGGTCGAGAGTGTGTGGCGTGCTCGTAGCTATTTTTTTTTATTTTATTTTTTTAAATAAAATCCAGTTGATTAGTAAGCAGGCTTGGAGCGCGCACGGGTCACAGGGGCGTGGCCAGAATGCCAGTCTTTCTCAATATAAATATGGGATTCTGGCCACCGGTAAAACTGGGTTTAGCCGGGATGTACCTTTGGGTCGCTCGATGAAGATGTGGATAGTTTTCTTCGGCGGTGCCTCTTCAAAGACGTCAGAAAGGTCGGTGGTTGCCTTGAGTTTCTTTTTCTCAGACACGTTGTCAAGTACGATGGGCTGTTCATCGTCATCGTCGTCGGCGTCGACAGGAATCGTGACACGCCAGAGCACCAGGTCCTTGGCGGTAATGTCGTCGAAGGCGGGTGTTTGTTTGGCCTTGATTGCGTCCTTGAGCTGGCCGACGGTCTCGTCTGAAGATATCTTCACGGGAAACGCACTCGATGAGGGGTCGCCGCTAACGAGACAGAATAGGGAGAGTGTATTTGCCGCCATGGATGGATGTTTTTTGGTAATGGAGAAACGAGGCACGTGTAAATGGAGAAGCAATGCGCCTGTGAATGTGGGGTGTGTGCGAGCGGAGGGAGGGAGTAAAGAGCAGAGAGAGCACCAGCGTCAAAAAAAGGTTCGGTGTTGTGTGCGGATGGAGACGTAGTGCGCTTGTGAATGTCCAGAATTTCACGCAGTCATAAAAAATGCAAGTCACAAGCTTGCGCAGCTCAAAAGCAGTGGGCAGAAACTGACAGATAAAATGATCTGTTGCTTCCTAACATATATAACACAAACTACACACCATTTATCAGGAATCGACGACACAAACAGCCAAATGTCCAGTAAATTCGGATCCGTATACTTTGCTACTGAAAAGGGCCAGACCTTGGGTCCGCAAGCGAGATCCTTTGCCCAAGCCGACAAGAACTCCAATACGTTCTTTGTGGCGTACATGGCGGGGGTATCCAAGAAAGGAAGCCCGTTCTACGAACATGCGAGCTACAAAAACTTGTCTGCATTTCTGCAAGCATATGCCGACATACCAGCCAAGGACCGGTTCTTCGGGGAGCTTCTCAGGGATGGCCACGCCTGTTCGGAGTACTATGATGTTGATTGGAGTCTCGAATCAGTCCAAGACGATACTGAATCGAGTGAGCAGCGGGAGCAATAGATGTTTGCGGCGTTCCTTATTGCGCGCAATGAATTTGCACCGCAATACCCAGTGACAATTGACCAGTGTCGAGTCTTGAGTGCATCGTCCGGCTCGAAGGTGTCGCTGCACATCATCATACCAACGTACGCCTTCAAGAACAACAACAAGCACATGCATGCATTCATGCTCGACTTTGAGCGTGCGAGGTCAGCTCAGGATCAAGGGCCGAACAGTGGACTTTGCAGCTACATCGACATGAGTGTCTACAGCAAGAACAGGAACATCCGGATCCTCGGAAGTCGCAAGCGCAATCAGATGCACCGACGTTTTGTGCGTGCTGAATGGCATGAGGCATCTGTGAATGCAGAGGATGCAGAGTTCTATATCACCAACCTCCGTCCTGGCAGCATTGAAGTCGACATGCCTATAGCCAACACACCCTCGAAAAATCGCCCTCGCATTCGGCAAGCCGAGCAGACCAGCGCGGCATTTTCAACCCAGCAACAAATCGCTTTACCTACTCATATTGTTGATTCTGTACGTAACAGATACTTGAAGTATAAGCACGCGGACCAGTATGCAGTGCACTATGAAGGCGGCATGATCTTTAAGCTGAAACGCAAATGTTCGGGTCATTGTGATATATGCAAGCGTTGCCATACAAGCGACCATGCGTATCTACAGCTGTGGACGAATGGCGAAATTCACCTACACTGTCACAGGTCCGCTAGAAAAGTAGGTGTACTCTTGGATAAGCTTGGCTTTAGTGCCGTAATCGAGCTTTGTGCCATGGCATGTAAACAACGACCGTCCGTTCCTCTGGATGGAGCAATCACATACATCGAAAAATACATCAAACACGAACTGCTGGCACCTGGACTTCCGTCGTTGAAACTCGGTAATGGCAAGCTCAACGCAGCCAGGGAAAAGTTACCAAGCCTGATGTTTTGTTCTGCCACAGGAACAGGAAAAACAATGTATATTGATGCGCTCGTCAAGGCAAATCCAGGACGCCAAATCGTTTGCGTCACCTGCAAAAAGTCGTTGGCAAACGCCAATGGACAGCGCCACGACATCCCAAACTATCAAGATATTCGCAAGCCGATTATTACAGAGGATAGAATTATGATCCAAGCAGAGTCATTGTGGAGACTTGACTTGGATTTCTATCTAGACAACGATGTCATCTTGATCCTCGATGAAGTTAGCTCGCTCTTTGACCAGATGACTAGCAAATCTACTATGGGAGACAAGCATGACATGAACAACGTCGCTCTGAATGCATTGATCGAGGGCGTGGCCCGGGTCGTCTGTTTCGACGCTGATCTTACGAATGAGGATGTGCAACTCGTGAAAAGTCTGCGCGATGACGTGCAAGTTATCCACAATATGGCGAAACCACAGGATGGCGATAACGTAATGATGTACGAGACTAAACCACAGCTCCAGGTCGAGATATGTGATCTGATGTGTAAAGGGAATCGAATTTGGATATCGAGCACTCTCAGCGCCAAGCGATCCATGGCGATACACAGAGACCTCGCGAGCAAAGGCTACCGTGGGATGTGTATAACAAGGAACATACCTGAGAGTGAGAAGCGCTATGTAGCCGAGAATATCAACAGTTATCGCCGACGTCGATTATTTCATCCACACACCAACTATCAGTGTCGGCATCGACTGTAATATCGAGAATCATGTTGAATATGTGGTAGGCTTCTTCAGCACGCAAAGCGGTGTCACAGTGGAGACATGCAGACAGATGTTGCGGCGTGTCCGTCACGTCAAATCAAAGACATACATGGTCCATGTCGACGGCGCAACAAATAAACTTCCCACTACAACTTGTGCTCTCCAGGATTGGATCTGCAATCAGAAGAACCATGTGCATGGGGTATCAGGTCTAGGGTTGCAGTATGTACGTGGAAGAGGCTACATACTACCAGACAGCTTCTACAGCCGCCTGTACATCAACGCACGCATCAAGAAACATTTGTCGAAGAACGGCTTCAGAAAGCGGTTCATTATGCAGATTGCGGTGTAGGGGGTCTACTAACGGGTTCTATAACTTCTACCATTAGTTCTATTTACAACGGGAGTTACCACGCGAATAGGACTTCGGCAAGGCTGTGCTTCGGTCACTTACTGGTTCGTGGTGCAGGGTCCTCCTTTAGATCGGAATGTAAGAACACAAAGGTAAAATAGACTAGACGTAAATGGAAAGGAATAAATATGGGGATCTGTTTAGCTAAATGGTGCGAGCTAGGACTATATTCCTTTGGGAATGACTGGGGTAGTTGCAAGGAGTTCGCATATTGTGATGTCCGATGAGGTGAGGAGTCGTGACAATGAAGTCCACCCCTCTGGAGTCGTTGTATGCCAATAGTTGCTGATCAGGCCTCCGTTGTACCTTTATAATGCCGTTTCACGAGGGTGGGCCGATGACGGATGCTCAATGAGACGATCGGTAATCGGGGAAGCGCTGCGGGGCAAGTACAATGTCTAAAATAAGAGCGATTGACGGCGCAAAGGTGGCGAATGATCAGGATCGGCATTTCCTGTTGATTGTATCTCGTTGCATGGGTTGCTGACGGTGGTAGTCAGTACCTGTCGTTGATGCGGTGTTATCCGGACAATCTGGACGAATACAATGTGTGATACAAATGATTTTGGTGGAAAGAAGACTCTGGTTCAGGTACCAGACCGTTTATTCTTTTATTCTGGGGGCGGTGCTCTTCCCCGTGATCTAATATTAACTTTGCAAGAACAACCAACTGATTCTCATTTACTACACCACAAGATGTCAGACGCCGGATGTATTATCAAGGGCGTACAGCGGTTTGCCGAGGGCTCCAGTAAGGATGAGATCAAGTCTATAAAGAAAGAGCTGAAGGAGATGACGGTGACCACCGAACACCAGCAACGCATGATTGAAGACGAGCATGCCCATCAAGTTGCCAATGCAAGGGATCTCACGTACGAAGCTTTCACCGAGCTCGACAACAACCCGGACCTGACCACAGAAGACCATCATGCTGTATCCAAATATATACTAAAAGATGCATACGACATCACAAGACCAGAGCTCATCACTCCTGAGTTCGTCAAGGCACTCGACAACGTGAAAGAGATAGAGACATACAAGAATATACGTGACCTATTGATTGACGATAATGACGATGGAGGCACCATGAGAACCAGACTAGACCATGCCCGGATGCAGCTGTACCGCTCGGTACGATTTTGTGCGGAGAATGGGCTCCCAGTTAAGGCAATGCACAAAATGTTGGAGTCGCGGTACATCCGACTCAAGTACGCCGTGGACATCCTGGATCCGTGTGGGTTTGCACATCCGTTTTCGGACGAAGTGGTATCAGCGGCTGCCCTCAAAGCAGCGGTCGAAACAATATGGGATAGCATCATGCCTGAGATGGACAACATGTGCATTACACTCGAACGGAAGAAGCCGCCGCACGGCCAATGGAACGTGTTCAAAAACAGGTTGTCGTTCCTGAACATCGTATTGGGAGATGTGCTTGGGGTCAAAATCAAGGCTATCAACAAACGCAGTGGACGATATAAATTGGAGCACTACACCAACGTAGGGTCTAAGGACTTCCGGTACATGTTTATAGAAAGTGTAGGGCAGGATCCATGAAGTTCCGTTGTATACCCTTGTATAACCGCTGTTTTTTAAAAAAAAGGTTAGCAAGACAAATAAGTAATACTACCCCTCTCTTAATGACCAACCTTACCAACCCTCTCTTATTGCGCGGTGGGTAGAATTCCGAGTTGCTATCTAAGAATAACAGATATCTGAAAAACTACCCACCGCCCAATAAGAGAGTGTCGTCAATAAGAGAGGGGTTGACTCCCGAGTACCAAGCAGAAAACTTGACTCTGTCGAGTTTTTCTAGCGCTTATACTTCGCGATGCTCACATAAACTTGAAAAAATGCACATTGCTACTGTTGTCTTTTCCATCGGCGCGAACAAGTGGTGTGCAAGGCGGATATCCAGATACTTACACCTGTTGCAGTATTTGCTTCGAAAAAGGGGGTTGTTCTCGGTCTGATGGAATCTGACTGCCCTTCAGACTGTTCGATGGCTTGTGGCTACAGCCGCAATCGAAACGACAGCCAACAAATAAGAGCTGTTCCAGGTCTGGCTCGTCACACATCACTTAGATGGTTAGCGAGGGAGTAAAGGACGGGAACACTAGGTAGTTCCACCCCTGTTGACTCAGCACACCATTAAGACCGTATCGGGTGAACGTGATTCAGCGGCACGTTTATAAAACTGTTGAGGCAACCAGACTAAGCACAGTGCCCCTGATTTAGTGAATGGGTTTTGTGGGGCGGTCTGTGAAGAAGCCAAGCTTTAGTTTTTAATGCGGGCCTAGCTTGCTAGGTTAGAAAGACGAGACGTGACTTGTTACCTCACAGCGATCCAGTGTCGCCGGATAGACAGGGGCTGTTTTTAAAAAGATGTACCACGCGAATGGCCCTCTGGAAACCGGACTGTGCGAGTGTTCTTGGACTGCCCTTCAGATCTGGAACGACCCCCAAAGCGGAACCGATCCACAGTCGCCAAAAGACAGGTCACATTCCCCGGGCCTGCCCCTAGGGCCTGCGCAACAATTGCCACACCTCATCAGTGTGTTAAAAGCTGAAAACACCTTGTTACAAGAAGGGTATCTTCCCCATCCCCTCCATGGTTGTCAACCGCCTCCTCCCTTGCAGGCAATCCAGCAGCGTCCGATCCGCTGCGTCTGGGTCAAGCACGGGGCCAGGGCAGTTCCCATTTACATGGTCAGCGAGTAATGCACCACACGGACATTGGTCGTCGTCGCTAATGTATCCATACCCATCACTCCAGTCCCCTCTCGGTCCCTTGTATGGAGTTCGTTTCATCTTGGCTGTGATCCCCCATTCTCGCTCTCGAGCAATGGTGGCCTTGCAGCGTGGTTTCCAGATCAGCTCCGTAGCTTTCTCCTCAATAAAGCCGACGAACTTGTGAATGACCTGGCGCGCAATCGACGATGGCGAGGTAAATAGACTGCCCCACTCCTTGATAAGGCTGACTGGTGTGATGCCACGGCATAAATCGCTGATGCTCCAGGTCAGATCCGGAGAGCGGTCATAATACTCGTCACCTTTGAGCATTGATCGGGTCCCGGCAATACAGGATAGACCTCGGATGTGGGTCTCGTTGTTAGGACAAACCCATCGAATGGGTTTCGGTGCAGCAGCGGCGGCTCCAGCGCGGATCCTATCACGCTCTTGCTGCTTCTTGCTGTTCTTGTTGTATGCGGTCGTTGCAGCTCTGTCAAGATCTGGACTGGCAGGCAAGTGGAGAATGTAAGAGCAAGAGTGAGTACAGGGCAGGAAAGTATTTTATTGCAGACTGAGGTTTGATTATGGCAGCTAGTTATGTCTTTTATATGTGAATAAAACTTGACTCGGTGAGAAATATAACTGTCCAGAGAGTCAATGAGAACAAGAGAGGGATCTTTAATTACAGCGACTGAGCAATTACTTATTGCTCAGTG